AATGTAAATATGACAATAGAGCTTGGCGTAGGGGCTGGTTGGAACTCATATCGTCGGCGTGCCACTCTTGAGATAACAGAAAGCGGCGTCTTTGTGAGCGGATGTAAAATTATTAAGCAACGGAATGTCGTAAATGGGGTTTTGCTTCACAATGCAGAGGGTTAAAGGTGAATCCGCATTGAGGCGCGTTTGATATGATTAAGTTCATAGGATTCCTTACGTAATTACTGTGGCTTCATCGATATCAATCGTACCTAAGTACATATACATAAAACTTCGCCCAAAAATGCCCAACCAAATTCGTTCGAGAAATTTCGGTCGGCTTTAAACTTATCGCTTCGAGGACCCATTCGTTTTTCGCTGGCACATTTTTGAGCGCACTTCAAGAGGCATTAAATTGTTTCAAAGTTCGCCGGGCCGACTGACAGCCGAAATGTCGCGTTCGCGTCCTCAAAACTCGGCCAGAGAATTGGTCTAGAATAAAACAGCCACAAAGTATACACCATTCGATTTTATTACGGCGAGCAGACGCCCTTCGGAAATCCCGGGGCAGCAATCGCGTAAATCTCTATTTGTCGCAACTAAAACAGGTCACGGCGGAGGCTATTACGCTCCCTAAATGCTGCCGAACTCCCTGTAGAGCGCTCTAATCCACTCCGAACGGGCTGGTGTCAAACGCAGGCCAGGGTTGTTTGTATTGTTTATTGTCGCGGCGCTCGTTCGTACGGCAAAGACGACGCCAACAGAGCATGTTTCAATTGATAGAGCCGAACGGTCCCCCGGGTGAACTTATATATTTCTGCTCAACTATGCTTATCGTCACTTAGGCCGCGTTTTTGTCGATACTTAAATTTGACTATAGTTCAATCTCATAGCAAAAAAATAACCATTTGTCAAAATTTGAAACATTTACTATAAATTTGACGTGGCATTAACTATAGTCAAATTAAACTATATATGAAACAACGCCACAACTGTGAGTGCAGCTTTTGACACGCGACCTTAGTCGGCAATACCTGATTTCAATATAGGTACGGCTTATGTGCTAGTAACTTGACCTACAAGTCCTATAAAATAGAATCATGACATCTTACAATATAAATGTCTGCCATGTATATTTAACTCATTAAATTAATGAACCGTTTATAATTAAGGTAGTTTCCTAATTTATTAATAAAACCATACAAAATGCAACTACCTGCAGTTGCATTTTGTAGTTGTTGCGGTTGTAGTTTTACATTAAAAAAACAAGCTTATACTAATAAGACAACATGTACTTGGTTGCAACAGTGACGTAGTTCCAAACAAAGGAATTCGTAAATTAGAATAGTTGTTAATATCCCATGAGCGAGACTGCCCGTGCAACAGTTAAGGGAACTATGGCGGAACTCCCCAACTCAATGTTGCGGTATTTTTGGCACACTCAAAACTGTGAGTGCAGCTTTTGACACGTCCCCGTAATGGGTTTGGAGAAGTTAAAACGAATATTATGATTTTGTGTAACAATGATACGTTTGATGCACTTTCTGGGACTTTTTTAAAAGAACACTTCCGAGCGAATGATCCAAAAAAACTACTACTTAATGGATACGCTTTACGTATCTTTTACGTAATATAGATCTAGTAAAGTAATTTTGACTATTAAGAATATCACAACTTTTTCATCGCTTGTCAAATAATTTGGTATAAGAAACAAAATTAAATTGAAGGTATCATTTTTGAGAAAAATGTTAAAACTTCAAAACATGTACGATTCTGCTGACTTAAAAAAGTATCTACTTGCTTGTATCAACTTAAATCAAAGCCAGATTTTAAATCGCAACCAAGCTAGTATGTAAATGAGATGAGTATTCGATCACGTTATGTGCAATGCAAGAGCTTACCGGAGTATCGCATTTCGCATCGGATAGCTGAATAATAAAAAGCGAGTAGGTGGCTAGCTGGTAGAATCACATGAATAAGGAAGGTACAGATTTAAAGCTTTAAACCAATTATAAGCTATTTCGCAATGAGAAAAATAAAGCAATTATTGGCTTGTATATGTATTTATTATGAATATTGTGAGCAATTGCACTGTTCTGAAAAAAAAGTAGTCGATAATATTTCAAAAAATCATGAACATTGTCACGTAACCGAAAACGCCTAGGATTGGCGGAACCTAAAATGACGTCAACTTCTTGTAAACATGCTCTCGGAGTGACATTACTTTGTGCTGTTGGATGTTTTAATGAGAGCCGTGTGACGTCAGCTGACCGTAAGACGGCATTATTTCCAAAAAAAAACGTTTCAGCGGCATATTTGAAAACATTTTTATTTTCTTTTGTTCCTAATAAACGCATAGCCGAATTATAAATTCATATTTAATTTTGGAGTCACTATACACTAATAAATAATGTATGAATGTTTTCAAAAACTTGTCAAATAGTCTATTGGGTGTAGGTGATGAGCACTGCTGGCTTGTCGCGTACGAAGAGAAACCTTTCTTTTGGCAGCTACAGGCAGTCAGTGCTCATTCACACACGCACAGCATAAAGCTTTTACCTCTGTGCCTTCTCTACTCATGTCGTAGAATGGAACAAAACACTTGAAACAATATCGCGACACAGCGGCAATCATTCGTGTTTTATCTGAGTTTGCGCACGCCGCCGCGGAAACTGCTGCAATAAAAACTGTCATATGTACAGTTACAAGGGAAACTATGTAGAACTGCGAACTGTGTTGCAATGGTGATAGTAGCTATGTAACGTTGTAAAAAAACATTGCCACTTTTACGTTGTGTTTGATTTATTGCAATAGTTTAGGATCTATTAGTCTAAATTTTTTTATATATTCATAAAAATTAAATACTCCATAAAAAACTTACTTCAATGACATTTCTATACATATCACGAGAAATGTAGTTGATTAAACAACTAAATCAGTGTTAAGCTAGTCATGCTTGTGGAGTAAATGTGCAAGTTACGTTATCATTTAAAAGTTGCTAAAGAAAAAAAAATTAGGAATTCCTAGGAATTGTATAGGGGAAATGTGTAAAATAAACCGATTTTGGCCTGTCTTTATCTTAACCAAACCTAACCTACCTACTCAGTTGGATATAAGATGATGAACGGATTTTATAATTCTTACCGAATGAACTGCAGACCAATGAACGTTTGACCAACTTATAGTGGGTTAGGTTAAGTTAGTGCTGTGAACTTAAAACTTAGCGCGAGCCGAGCGAGCAAAGACAGCGTGCCGCAGCAGCGACCAGCTATGCGCCAGTCACCTGACAGATAATAGATAAAACAAGGAAAAGTCAACTCGCTATCTTCTTTTACACACATTGCCGACTGCGCGTTCGGCATTGTATAGAATACGTAGGCAAAGTATGAAATGTATAATATTTCATACATTGCCTTAACGGCTTTGGCATCCTTTACTTGCCTAGGAATACCTAGAATATGTATAGAATGCCGGATTAATTAGATTGCCGGTAACATATACACATAAATTCTATGGCAAAAGTTTTACTGTTGATTTAGCCGTGACTAAATCAACATGAGAAATAAAGTTTTTTATTGTAAGAAAAGTCATAATGCATAGCGTGGACGTTGCTTTAGCAAGTACTTCTGTAATATTGCAAGTATGGAAGATTCAAAACAGATTATGCACATAAAAGTCATGTGTTCAATTTAAAATACTACATTCATTATTTTGCATTAGGTACATTTAATAGCAATATTAATACTACAGCAACGTTGCTACGATGCTCCACTGGTTTATGCTACGATACTCGTAACGGACACTTTGCTCGTAGTGCACCTAACAAATTGTAAGCTACATCGTAGCAATGTAGTGATGAAAAAAATATTGAATGTTCATTTAATAAATTTATATAAAGTCTACAACAATATTACCCAATTATAATCAAACATAGTGTAATTATTGTAAGCAAAATATTATATATAAACTGGCTGAGCCAGCGAACTTCGTATCGCCATTAAAATATGGGTGGTAGAAGGGTGAAAAAGTGCAAAATTTAGGGTTCTATGTATTTTTGTATGTTTCATAAAAAAATTAACACAAAAAAATCTGCATAAAAAATAATAAGGGAATGAAAGATGAATGAATAGATGTTGTCCGATTCTTAGACCTACTGAATATGCATATAAAATTTCACGAAAATCGGTCGAGCCTTTTCGGAAGAGTTCAATTACGCACACCGTGATACGAGTATTTTACATATTAGATACTGTAAGTGTAAAAATCCTATAATTTACCAATTTGGAATGAAGTTAGTAGCAGAAATAAGAAAAACCTAAGGTCAAACTACGACAATTAAGATTGTTAAAGTTTAACTAGGTGGTTTTTGGCAACCTAATTCTGTTACTAAACGCTAAGGAGGGACAAAAGCTAAATGTGGCTTTGACGTAGAACTAATTAAATTAATGTATTAATTATCTGTCTTAAGCTGTCGAACCTTTTGTGCCTTACCATCTCTCACAGAGATTCAAGTTTCATTTATGAAGATGTAAAGGACAGTCATTACTTATAGAAATTGATGCAATAAGATTTTAGTACTATTAGGAAACCCAATGTTTTTAAACATGTACAATATACAGTCAACAGCAGATAAAGTTCACCATAACTGTCAAATTTAAATCAACTTGTAACTTCAACTTACTATTAAAACTATTTTGCTAGATATAAAGTTTCGACTGACAAATTTTATCACAAGGGGTAACTTGCTTGCTTGCTGGCTGTACATAAAATGTTTCTTTGGGGTTAATAAAAAATGGTACATTTTATAAAGTAAATAAATCTGTCTGCATTTTATGTGGAATTTATGAATCTTTAAAATTTTTATACAACACCAACACGCACTAAAACAACATTGAAATTAAATTGGCACAAACACGTGCGTCAATTGAATTTTTATCTAATCTTCAGTTTTTTACTAGCTTTATAAGCATAAAAACTTTTGACATTGAAAATGAATTTTGTATATTTATTTGTTACAGATCAAAGATGCATTGAGAGAATAGAATGAACTAAGAAAATATGACAATAATATAGTTGAGTGAGAGAAATTATTATACACTATTATTATGGTTTGGGAGACTGACGACGGTAACACATAGAGAGTGATAGTATGTTTGCAAGGTGGCATGTGAAGAGGGCAACACTATCTGATGACATTTGACCTGATGATGGCGGAACATTCGAGGAGGCCGCGGTCCGTATCAATGGAAACCGGTGGGCTGCCGCTCGTCTCTACGTTCGCTCTGCTTACAATCGTGGCAGGTAAGACACATTTTTTGTGAGCTTATCAAACGAAACGGGCTTTGTTACTGATAAAAAAAGCAGCCACTACACACGACCGTTAAAGTTGTTAACCGTTTTGTACTTTTGCTTTTATATTAGCTTATATATCATAAGTACTGTTATTACTGAATTGATAAAATAAATGCAAAAGTATTTAATAAAAAGTAAAAAAACTAATTAATAAAGTCTGTAAAAAGCAACATATTAAAAAGTACTACAACTTTCACCCTTCCTTGAAATCTTTGTAATAAAGTTACGAAAATTTTGAGAATAATTAGAACTGTAGTTATTCCAATTTTCAACTTGAAAAGAAAAACCTAAAGTCATACTAAGTTAACGTTCCTAATGGAAGTAATTAGTACTCGTATCAATATCCCTTTTACTCGTTCCGCTTTCATGAACTCGCAAATTGGGCTTGGCTTAGTGCGGTAAGCTTGTAGCACTGTATCCGCTCTGGCCTCTAATGCCTGTACTGATGAAAAGCATAATATCCTGGCCACCTCTACTCTTTGAGTCTATTCATTTTCTCCAATGAATAAACTAACGCTGCCAAATTTTACTTAAAAGGACCGCAAATTTGCTCGCGAATTATTTTGCTTTGACCGAAAATACGGCGTGTGTGAGTTGTATGCATTATTTCCGGATTTCGGAAAGATACATTTAACTTTACCTACGTATCCCAATATTACTTAATGTATTTAAAGTTGTTATTTTATGAAGAACTAGCGGCCCGTCCTCGCTTCGCTTCGGTGTAGAGCTGAAGTGTAGACTACAATTTTTGTTTTCAGGCTTGTATTATACACAATGACATTCATGTATGATTCTTCTTATACCTGCATGCAAAGTCTCAGCCCGATCGGTTTCAAATTGACAAAGTTTCATACAAACTTTCATTCCCTATTTTATCCCCTTGGGGGTAGAATTGATCAAAATTCTTTCTTAGCGGATGCCTACCTCATAACATCTACCTGCATGCCAAAATTCAGCCTGATCCGTCCAGTGGTTTCGGCTGTGCGTTGATAGATCACTATGTCAGTCAGTCACCTTTGAGTTTTATATATATACTAGCTGACCCAGCGAACTTCGTACCGCCCTAAAAAAATAGGAGTTGTCCAGCGGACAAAATTGTGAATCTAAACCATTCTCAGATCCCCTTGAACACACACAAAAAATTTCATCAAAATCGGTCCAGTCGTTTAAGAGAAGTTCAGTGACATACACACTCACAGAAGAATTATATATATAAAGATAGACTAGCTGGTCACTACTAGCCATAAAATTAAGGGTTGCTCGTAAAAGAAAAACATTTAGAGTTACTTATGTGTATTTTTAATAGAAAGAAGAGAAAAAAATTGGCCAAGAAATAAAAAAATATTTTTTAGGTGGACCACCCTTATCACTTAGGGGTATTTAAAATAGTTTCTCAGACCTACTGATTATGCACGAAAAATCATAAAATCATAAAGAATCGGTCTAGCCGTTTCGGAGGGAATTTGATACTAACACGACACGAGAATTTAAGACATTAAAAAAGAGAAGATATAGTTATGCACTGATATTAAAAAAAAACAATACATTCCGAACATACAATGCTGATAAATTTGGTCCCGTCTTATGTATCTTGCTGCAATCAGACTTCGCTTTCGTCGCATCATTTCTCTACCGCAGTAGTTAAAACTAAACTCAAATTTCTGCGCTTTACTGTCTAGCAGGTTGCAGTATAGAATAAACTACCTCCTAGACATCCTCACAAAACCAGCTTGACGCAATGGGCTCCACTAAGAGATGTCTTCGAGATTTTTTGTTTGCTTAATGTAACTACTTACTTTATCATCCCCATTCAACTAATTCCATTAATGAGTCCAATGAATCTGTTGCCGTTGTTAATATACACAGGAATTTGCACGATTGATATGCATAAAATCCACATCGGATTACAGCTAATCATTGGATTAATTGTATGGAATTTAGTGATCGTACGCGCGGTGAATTAAACGCAATTCTATCAGAATGTAATTATAAATGTCGATGAGCGTGAAATGCTGAATAATTGGAATACGTAATCGATGGAGATATGAAATATCGCCGAAACCCCGAAACCGCACAAACGATACATTTCGATAAAAACTTACTAATGTCAAAACGATATCGGTTACAGGGCTCAGGATTAAACGGAAATAATTTAATAAATCTGTAAATGGTAACGAAGTTCGGCATTTGCATGGCGTATGGAATAGTGACATGATTGATTGAAATCATTACTTTGTGGAATTGCAGAATATCAATGTTGCGATATCATAATATTTTGATTAAGATACTATTTCGCAGCAATCAAGTCTGGTTTCAATATCATAGTGTCTGTCGTTATCTGTCGATATACTTATTATCTGCGGGGAAATGTTTGCATCTCTAATGTTTCATGGATTTTTTATTTTGGATATTCTAATTCCCACGTTTAATAAAAATTAATTCGTAAATAAAGACCGAGTCCAGGCATACATTCTATATTTACACTTATTGCTGGGTGTGTATAATAATTTTTAGCTATTGCTGAAATAATGACATAAAATAAATTATATTTTTCTCAACCATATTTCAATTTATCATTACGAAAAATAAAGGAACTATTGATACCTTTAAGGTTTGTATGAACTTCCAATGCTGCAAAGCACTATTATATTTATTGATTTCCTGTGTAAAATTTTCTGATTTGATGATAAAATGTATTGAGTTGTAGTCAAAGCTAATTTTTTTCTAGTATCACGTTGCGATTTAGCCATAAACAGCCGTGTTTGTTTGGGGTAGGATGGCTCAGGACAAAGGAGTTTACTATGTTAGTAAAAGGGACGAATGGCTTAACATTCGACGCGGCGTGGAACTCGACTAGAATATACACTTCATATTATGATTGTAAGACCTTTTTTATTTTTCTTCTATCTGCCTTTGTTCTGGAAAGGCTTCAAAGAAATTCTTTTGTAGCCTGTATCTAAATTACTATCTAGACTAAAAAATATTATAGGTTTCGCGTTTGTATTAATGAAATCACTTTCTCGAGGCAGGTTAGTGGAAAATGTGAACTTACTCGTAAGAAAATTATGAACCAGGTATTGGGGCCATACACTTTTCATGCAATATTTATTTGACTATCTCTATCATCATAAGAAAACATGAAATGTTTTAAACTTTGAGGAGCATTTTTTTAAATTCTTTAGGTACTATTTCATAAGTAATTGTTGTAAAGACGGAAATCATTTATCCAATTTTACTCTATTTTTCCGAGAGGTGCCTTAATTGATATTGTTTTGCGCAAATATAAATTTGATGAGATAGTTAATTTTTTTTTCATACTAGGTTCAAGGTTGAATTTTACACGGGTTTATTGATAAGTAAGTACTTTTTTTAGATAATAACACTGTTTGAATCTGTGTTAAGAAAAATTCCATACATTAGTGGAGATGATTTATAATTATTGCCGGCTCTTAATATTTCATAGTCCTTCGGATTGTAGATATGAAGATAAACGGGGTCGCGTCGCTGAAGTTCGTCGCTGCTCCGGTTATTAATTTTCATTTGACGCAGATAAAGGCTCCGCAGCTATGGACGCCTATAATTCCCTTTGTCACATTCCGGGAATTGTAACTTATGTTACTTGTATCCGCAAAGTGCATGTTGTATTAAAAAAAGCTCAAATGTTAGTAGTTAGTAGGTAGTTAGTATTAATGGTAGTGCGGTGAAATATTATTTGCTGTTACACGTATATAACTTGTAAAAATATATTATTAAATGCGATGATAGATTTATTGCATTTATCAAACCAAACAAAAACAAAAATAGGATGAAAAGATTTTTCGCAAATGTTAAAAAATATGATTTATTACATATTTAAAAGATGATAATTTCGAAATGTTTGCAAATACTAAAAATATATTGTAATACATAATTTTATAATTTTTTTATTAAAATTAATAAAGAGATTATTTTAAATTTAAAGGCATCGTAAAATAACACTACAATTTTGGTAGTATTGTATTTATCTGTTAGTGAGTATGAATTCAGGATTCCACGGGGTAAGGGATTGGTTTCTATCACAAAAAAGTCAGGATGTCTGGAGCAGCGCCATTCTGCCGTATCAATTTTGCGACTAGACTCTATGAACAGCCAACGGGCGAGTTGATTTGCTGTTTCTTATAAAAATCCTATCTATCTATTTCTATTAGCCTATTACCTATGTTCGGAGGTAAACCCAAAGGCTACGACTACTTCTACTACTAATTAGTAGGAGAAAGGCATAGGCTTCCACCGATTTCTGTCCTCGGCCACTTGCATCCAGTTAATTTCTGCCTGTTGCCAGATGTCAATAAAAAGTCTTAATAATAAAAAACGTGGCTTAAGCCGTATAATAAGCTAAAATAAAACCTTGGTAAATATTTAATTACACAAATGATTATTACTGTATTCATAATATTAATTAAAATTCCGGGATCAGTTTAACTCAAAATATTTGTGTACCATAATGTTTCCGTGGGCAATTTTCTCTAAGTCTATTTATAAGGCGAATAAAAAATTAGGTCGCCGGCAGTCAATCACAGCGGATGTCCCATCGTGGGGCTGTTATTAATTTTCATTTGACACAGGCGGCTGCCGCGCGCGCCGCGTGACAAAAGCGACGTTTACTTCCACTCGTTCAACCGGCGTGCGCGGCTTAAGCACTTCGCGCACTGGTTTATAGCTTTGTCATTGTGTGTGACGTATAGCATCACTCAAGACGTCAGAGGCTTGCGCGGTTCGGCATGCATTCTAATTACGACAAAGAACGTTTAATTCAATTTGTTAGTGTAAGTACCTTTGTCATTGATTAATGGTTTATTTTTAAAATAAATAATAATATTTTTTGTTCAGAATAATGTTGTTCTTTACACCAAGAGAGGTAGGGTATAGCAGATTACGCGCGAATAGGAGCACCCGTCTGGGAAAATAAC